AGATTCTAGAAATTAGAAAAAATTGAGTCAAATCAAGTGTTTCAAGAATCTTACCAAGTAAAATTTTTTTACGCCATTGGCAGACATTTTTGACTTAATTTGATTCAAATTTTCAGGCTAACAAGACAAATAATCTTACACATTCTGAAAACAAGATTATTATTCTTACACAATCAGTTCTTGTTTAGTAAATCAGTCTCATATCATGATCAAAAAGACTTTCTGGCTGGATATAAGATTTTAAAACTTGGTTAGGTGGACATTTTATTGCAGACACTTTCTTCTGGTCTTCGCGGTCGACAAAGGACCCGGCCCACGTCGACTGGGTCCTTCAAAGGATGCAGCCCCTGAATTTGGACACAGTGAACATGTCAAATCGACTCAGTCACAGATATTTATGTATCGGCTGAAGTCAGTTGCCTGTGGCAGCCATCTTGAATCAGGGTTGAGTCCAAAGGTTCGTTCATCTCATCAAAAGTTCTTCAGTAGTTCAGTTTGCCTTTCAGCGAATGTGATCCCTTTAAGATGTCGGGACACGTAGGCAGAGGACATGCTGAGTTGGTGGGCCGGTACACGTGCTGSGGGGTAGGAAGGTGCAGGCCAGTGGGACATGCATTCACTAAGACTGGGTTACTGGAACTGGTAGTTAGTGGCTATTTGCGGCCTTCCATGAGTATGTGAGGAGACAGAGGGGTGTGTGAGGGGAGAGAGAGGGTGAGGGACTAGACTCAAAGTTTCAAACACACCTGCAAACTCGATTAAGTCTAACGTGCGACAGACATACCTCGGCCGAGGCCAGTGACGTCACCTCCATCAGGTTTTCGGCACGGAAGGCGAACACTGCGGCAGCAAGAACTGTAGGGGGGGAGTAAGGCCGTCAGGGAGGAAATACTCACAATCAAAAACAGTGGAGAAAATAGACAAWTAGAAATGACTTACCTGCAACAACCTCCAGTGAGTTATATCCAAGGATTCGATCCCAAAGAAGCAGCAGCTGATCAGTGGAGAGGTACCCAGAGAAGGCTCGCACAATCCACTTAAAGGCTATACGCAGGCTGAGGACCAGAACAAACACATCTGCAATGAGCTGAAATTATTATCAGGTTACTGGCTGTGGACGATCAGGTCCTGCGCTCAAATTAAAGACTCCAAAACTGAGAGGAAGCTGTGATCCCAGCCTTGAACACAAGATGGCACCAGCTCATCAGGTTTGCACTGAAACCAGACCATGACTGTGCATAAATCACATCKGTACAAGTGTAAAATATATGGCATAAAGGCCAAAATAGATGCTAAAAATAATCATTAGTGTTTCATGAGAAAGCAAGATGCCTGTCTTTGTACATCTTTGCACTTTTCTGGTGATGAAATACCCCCCTCAGGTTATTTGCTCTTTAGCAATGATGCCAAACCTTACAGCTCCTCTACATGAACCCACAGAGGACAGAGGCGTCGACTCACGGCTGAGCCTCGATCTGTCGAAGGTGGTAGAAGAGCTGAGGCAGGTGGGTCTGGAGCAGCCGCTCAAACTGCAGGCAGAGGGACACGATGCCCTGCAGGAGCAAACGTGCAACAGTGTGAGAAAAAATGTAGAGGTAGAGAAAGCTCTTTTAATTCTAGGGTTTTATGCATCAGGTCATAATWAAAAAATGATTTGGTCTTTAATCGCTTCGAATTCTAAAATGGTTTAAACTTGAGTTTGTATTTTGGTTACTTTATTTTATTGTTGTTGTTTTTTTTACTTCATTTTTTTATTGTTTAAAACATAATTTTCCCATATTTTGTATGATTGTTCTTTTCTGTTGTGTTAGCTTGGCTATATTGTAAATGAGGATGCTACATCATAAGTCTGAGTTCAAAAATAAACAAATTACTTTGTCTTGTATTCTTTGCGAATAGGACAACAATGTTCTGAGTTTGACATTTAGCAGCCTTACTGAAGGAGAGGAAGAGATGGAGTGCAGTCTGAAGAAGTAGCGGATGTACATTTCCCGAAAGACACTGTACAATTTGGATGGCTCATTGTACAAGAAACACAAGGGCGCCACTGAGGGACAAACATACACAAAGACACTTGTAAACTCTGTACGTCAGACTCTTTATGGCTTTATATCCTGCTCGTTCAGACAAAACTGTACTCACCGTACATTGAAAACCCATGGAAAGGAATTACTCCTGTTCAAACRAGACATTCATTTTAGTTTAGATTCTCAACAGTCTCGTGTGTAGTTTAGAAACATTTATTCTTTATTAAATTGATGCAAATGTCTGAATGGAAGCTCACCATTTGGAGGATAAACAACAACATGCTCCTCGTCTCCCACTGTTCTCGAAAGACAGACGCACAAACACAACAACCGTCAACATTTAAAATTGGTTTTACTTTAGCATGCAAAGCTGTCTGCTTAATGCCTAAAGGTCTGCACTACACATAGCAAAGAAGCTTTTATTTTCTCTGCCCCATCTTTCTACAACTTCAAGATCTGACCTCAGTTCTTCTGTCTTTTTGCTTATTTCTGAACTTTTTTCCTTTATTTGAGCAAGAACTTATTATAGAACCAACCACTGAAGATCTCAGTGGGGCTCACCAGATTAAATAAGAGGGTAAGCAAAAATAGAATAAATATAAAAACAGGAGCCAAAATGTCTTCCTGGATCTCACCGTGAAGGAAGGATTTGGGAGGCATGGCGCTGTTGTAATTGAAGTGCTCCAGGACGGCGGTGTCTCGAGAGAAACATAAGAGCACCTGGAGGAACAAACACACACACACACACACACACACACACACGATTGGTGTTAAACATTTAGAAGACTTTAAAAAGACTTTCAGGAAGACTGGAGAAGATCAAGGCCACTAAAAAGCACAGCAAAGTCTGGTTTCTTGGAGGGCAAGTAAAAAAAAGTAGTGCTTTAAAACTTTTACACAACACTACAGGTTGATGGTTTTGTCTGTCAGGATGTCAGACTGGGATCTGGGGAATTTGGAGATCAGGTGGAAACCTCATGGGGACCATTTTCCAAACAAACACAGCCTTGTGGAGACCCAACGCTCCTTATAAGGACCAAAGCCTGGTCCCCACAGGTACAATGCTGATTTTGGGTCGGGGTTAGGTTTAGGACCAAGCTGTGAATTGAGTTTAGGTTAGGTTTAGGGTTGGGTGTGTACTGGGGTGGTCAGGTTTTAGGTAAATGTTCAGGTTTAGGCTGTARAAATTACTGGAAAATGAATGGAAGTCAATGCATAGTCCCCATGTGTATAGAAAATCCAATGTATGTGTTAGAGAGTGTGTGTACTTGTTTGCGTTTGTTACCCATTTAGGACTGTTTCTGGTGTACACACCTACCTTGTCAAGACTAGTAGTCCTTATGGGGACCAAAGACCAGTTCTAATAGGACGGACCACCATTTTTGGGTTGGGAGTTAGGTTTAAGACCGAGGTGTGAATTGAGTTTAGGTTGAGTTTAGGGTTAGGCATGTACCAGGAGGGSGTCAGGTTTAGGGTAAGGGGTCAGGTTTAGGCTATACAAATGGATGGAAGTCAATGAATGGTCCTAATATAGTGAAATACAAACTTGTGTGTGTCTGTGTGTTACATCCATGTATCATGAATGCCCAGTACCTAAGGTTTTTGTGCAGCAGTCTTATTGCCTGTGGATGGGATAATGTGGGTAATGTTCTTTTTATTAGTTCTGGTGCCGGTGAAGGCTTCACGCGACCTCGCTTCCTCTTAGGTAAGAGTTCTACTCGAGCGGTGCACCTGGAGCCAGGAGGTCAGGATGTACTGAAGCAGACTGAACTGAGCTTGGAGCGGTAACTCAATTTACAAAATGAGTGTATGAGAAGAAGTTTTTTTTTTTCATCAAAGTCAGATTTCTGTTCAGTTTTATAAAAGTGATATTTTCTACCCGAGGAAAACGTGTTGGAAGAAGGAAACCAACCTTTCACACAGACTCTTAAAATGCCTGTGACGTGCCTATCCTTCAAATACAAAAAGTCAAAGAAAACTTCTTTATTCTTAAAAAACTGGCATAATACACATGATTTTACACATTTTGTCTCATAACTAGCCTATTTTATTTTTGGATTTGGCTCAGCCAAAGTGAAACAGGAAGTGACATCAAAGGAGAACTCTTTAACAAAATAAACTCTCTGGTCTTTGTTTATTAAATCAATATTATTTAAAGGGATCCCTGATTAGTTGTAACATTACTTTATTTGATAAACATTTATTTTAACTGTAAAAATAAACACTGTAAAAATACTGTAGGCTGTTTAGTTTTGTAATTTTTTTTAAATATACAGTATTTTAACACGAACTGAGCGATTTTATTTACACACAAAGCATTCTGGGTAAATGATGACATGGATAGGTGTGAGCGGGTTATATCCACCCTGAAGGTTAATCTTGGACAATATCTGATGATCGACTCTTTTAAATGAAACCAGAGAGCGTTGACAGAGAGGAGAAGGTAGAAATGACTCAGCCTGKAACTGAAAATATRGATGGAGGACAACAGAGCTGCTTCATGGAAGAAGAACCTCAGCTTAGCCTGTTAGCCTTTGCACTAGTGCCGACACTATCTCCATATATATGTATAAGCCTGGCGCTAGCGCGACAAGCAAGCTAAACTGAGGTCCTCCATCCATATTTTCAGTTACAGGCTGAGTCATTTCTACCTTCTCYTCTCTGTCAACGCTCTCTGGTTTCATTTAAAAGAGTCGATCATCAGATATTGTCCAAGATTAACCTTCAGGGTGGATATAGCTCGCTAGCAGCCTTGCACCGAGGACCTATCCACGTCATCATTTACCCAGAATGCTTTGTGTGTAAATAAAATGGCCCAGTCCGTGTAATATATTTTTAAACTTTTAGTCAGAATTCCTGACACAGTGGCAGAGAGAGAGACAAAGAGGGTGACAAAGACAGGTGTGAAAAACAATCCCGCTCAGTCTTGTTTTACTACTTTCTTCTTTTTTTCAGGATAATTGTGGACTGAAGCCTCGTTGCAGACGGGACAGATAAGCCAGTCCCAGTGCGTACACTTAAAAACTGTAAGTTATGTGTCAACATGTGCTTTACAAACTGTAGATTTAAGTATTGTGGACGAAACAGGGACTATCAAAATAAATTAATCAACATGACACCTTCCCTTGGGGTTGTTTAAAAGTTGTGTTTATTTATTCTTTAGAACTTCAGTGCCCTAAAATAACTGATACAAAATGTTTTTTTATTAATTTGTTCAGTAACATTTACCTTCTGAAGACACCCTGCTTTGTTAAATCCAGGTAAAGCGAAGCTACATGGTGTCTTTGCAAACATTAAACTGCTTCGTCAGCAATTAATTCATCTTCAAAAACGAGAGAGAAATTCATGCAAACACATCTAAACAAGCACATGTCAAGTGGCCAACACATGGCTCCTCATCAAACACTTCTAGGAAATGACACTTGGGGTTTTTCTCAGAAACCTTAGATAATTAATAGCCATATAAGCTTTAGAATAACATCCTGACATAAGTGGATTCTTTCACCACCTGGTGAGTCTGCCATTAGTCAATATTGGCCAGGGGGTTACTGGAGATCTGTTCTTGATACACCTGCTGTGCTCATTCGTGAGCCGCCAAGGAGCATGACAGGCAAACRGATAATAAATAAATGCGGTGCCAAGCGTATAAACATGTTTATCTGTYGTGTATCAAAGACAAATAGAGCAGAGACTACCGGAGAAGCTGATTTTCCCCAAGTCATATCCTTGTCTAGACTGATTGTGTAACAGTAGATAAAGCTTGAACGCTCTCAGATTGGAAGTGTCATTAAGTATAAATATTTACAACAATCAAACCCTAGGAGATGCTTGAACTGTCACTTTCAGAAACTTGGTTTAATTTATGGACAGTAGACTGTTAATGGAAGCAGACAAACGCCATCGTTTTCACTACCAGATCTGGCAAAATGAAAAATAAACTCCCAAATTACTACTGACAAACAACTGTGTTGACAAGATTCCATTTTACGTAGGTAGAGATTGTGGAGGGAGAACTCTTTAAATAGACAAAACAAGCCTTACCTGGTAGAGGAAATCTTCAAACACGAAGTAGTAGTCGTCGTTGCTAGCGGTGAGCTTCACGTCCTGAACAAAATAAGAGCTCAAATTTTAATTTTTGTTCAACTGTAGCTTGATGGTAAATACGACGGTGTATTAGGGCCACACAACAAGATTTTTTTATTACGAGAATAAAGTCATTATTATGAGAATAAAGTCGTAACATTACGAGATTAAAGTCATAATATTACGACATTAAAGTCATAATATTATGAAAATAAAGTCATAATATTACGACATTAAAGTCATATGAAAATAAAGTCATAATATTATGAGAATAAAGTCGTAATATTATGAGATTAAAATCAAAATATTATGAGAATAAAGTCGTAACATTACGGGATTAAAATCATAATATTATGAGAATAAAGTCATAATATTATGACACTAAAGTCATAATATTATGAGATCATAATATTATGAGAATAAAGTCATAATATTACGACACTAAAGTCATAATATTATGAGATCATAATATTATGAGAATAAAGTCATAATATTACGACATTAAAGTCATAATATTATGAGATCTAAAGTCATAATATTATGAGATCATAATATTATGAGAATAAAGTCATAATATTACGACATTAAAGTCATATGAAAATAAAGTCATAATATTATGAGAATAAAGTCATAATATTATGACATTAATGGCATATGAAAATAAAGTCAATATTATGAGAATAAAATCGTAATATTATGAGATTAAAGTCATAATATTATGAGAATAAAGTCGTAACATTACGAGATTAAGGTCATAATATTATGAGAATAAAGTCATAATATTCTAAGATCAAAGTTGTAATACTAAACCCTTTACACAAAAAGGCATGTAGTTAACGCTGCATTCAAATGAGGAATGTTGAGCAACTTGTCAAATTATACTTTAATTTTGCTTAAAATAAATAGTTGATCTTTTAGCACATTAGCATCAAATTATCAGCAGCAGGACTTGGAAATTGTGCAAATGACTACGTACATGATAAACTGAAGCTGTATTGTAATTAATGGATGCATTGACAGATTTAGTCGTCACAAAGCTAATTTGGATGAAGCAAATTATTCTAACAGTGACCCAGCTAAGTCATCACGGGCTACTTCATAAAGAGACGTATGGCTGTCCACTGAAGGTGTGAGGAAAATAGGGAGGAAATGAGGAACAGAAAATGGACATGTCATGTAAGATTGACTTTTTTTCTCGCAATATTACGACTTTATTCTCATAATATTATGACTTTATTCTCGTAATAATTATAAAAAAATATCTTGTTGTGTGGCCCTATTTTAAGGTTGTGATACTCAGAAATGTTTAACAATGCAGGTCAAAAATAAAAAAATAATTACAAAAACTATGTAGGCACTCACCTTGTAGATGAGGTTATCAACCAGCAGGCTGTGTTGTATGACTCCAGCCTTCAGTTGTTCGTAATGCATCACATCCTGAAAATGCAGATTTAACTTGTTTTATGTCGGGAATAACTTGAACAACATCCTGAATATGGTATAAGAGATATTAGAAGGTTGGCAAAACATTTAGTAAAGTCCAACTTGAACTTTTCTTAATTAAATTTTGAAAGGTTTCCATCAACCTTCTTCTCTAAAAGTCATTTGAAACTTATGTTTGCAAGAAACTAGGCTATGACTTTGCCAGACTTTTATTTTGAAGAGGATTTGTAAGCTTTGTTTTGAAACTCTAGGTTAAAACTCAGCCTTGAACTCAAGCGTCAATCAAACACTCACATGGCAAAGATTGGTCTGGCCCAGTTCTGGTCCACACAAAGCACTAAACCGTGGGGTGTCAAACTAAGCTACCCTGCACRTTTCCCTTGTTTCTCTGCTCCAACACACCTGATTCAGAGAATCAGTTACCTATTTAAATTCTGCAGAAGCCTGTTAATCACCCATTCATGCAAATCAGGTGTGTTTGAGCAGAGAAACAAGTAAACATGCTGGATAATGGCCCTTGAGGACTGGATTTCGACACTTGTGCTTTAAACCCTCGGCTCATATGTTACAAAGAAAAGCCAAAAGGCAGAAATGTCTCTTTTGATTGTAAAGGTTGCAGACCCCCCTATCAGACTCTGTGATTTTACAAGGATTTTGGTTGTGAACATTTTAAGGTTTTTCCTAACCAGTACCGAAAGTACGAGAAGTAAAAAGATTCTCATTCGTGTAATATTTTCACAAAACTAGCTTAATCAACTTTAGGGCTTCTCGTCGATGTTAGCGAGATGAAACGAAGCCTAACGGAGGGGCTGCTGTGTTTCCGAGCRTGTGCTTACACTCAAAACGTGTCTCCGGTTTGAGGCAGGTCCGAGCAAAGCAATAAAAATGTCAACTGCGACAGTTCGGAAGCCTCTTGACGATGATCAGCGCCGCGGACGTTGAGAGCAGAAACGGAAGGAGGCACGTTTGACAGCTGAGGGAAGGAAAGYCGAAACCCACCGTGGCTACGTGGACCGCATCAGCCGAAGAGTTCAAACAGAGTCTGCTAAAAGACCCGACGCTGGTTGTTTATCTTACTGGAGAAAAGTGGAAACATGGGCCCCAACAAGGCGATATATTTCTTTAAATATCAGAGGTAATAGCTGCTCATGCTTGAAGTGGTGTGTGAGACAGAGGGAATTGTTGCACAGCTCATCTGTCACACTCTGTTTAATGTGCAGCTCAAGTCCTGCTGACACTTTCCAGATCTTTCTGTCGCTTTAAACAAATCAATCCTCTAATCACATCATTTGTTTTCTGGACTTGGCATCAGCAGAGGGGTCTGGACTGAGTTTTGAACAGGCCTTTGCCACATGGACAGGCAGGCAGGCGTACTGTTTGGGCAAATGGAGCGAAAGCATTTGATTATCCTAACATTTGTACATGCAGCTGTGACCAGCCAAGATAAACAGCATCATGGTAAATACAGAGAAAACATAGATCTGTTGGTGTTACAGCGGGTAAAATAAGTATTGTACACGTCACCATTTTTCTCAGTAAATATATTACTAGAGGTGCTAATGACATGAAATTTTCATCAGATGTCGGTAACAACCCAAGTGATCCATACATACAAAGAAATCAAACCATAAATGTCCAGAAATGAAGTTATTTGTAATAATGTGGAATGGCACAGGGAAAAAGTATTGAACACATGAAGAAAGGGAGGTGTAAAAAGGCATGGAACAACCTTATTGTTGCAAAGCATAATGATGGCATCGGTTACAGAAGAATGTCTAAACTTCTGAAG